GTCTTCAGTTGAACGCCTTCCACTTACACCACTGTCACTCGTATACTCATCGTGAGAGGTCGTATGTTAAAGAGCTTCCAGGGTTAGGATACGAAAGCATCACGAATCTGAGCGTGTACATCTTACCTCGACCGGATTTACAACTTTATAAAATCACTTTATTCGGCGAGGCCATCTTAACTAACACTACCTCCAAGTAGTGTCACAACTTCATTAACCGACCAAGCTACCTCGTCAGTGTTCGGGTCTGCTTCCTCTTGCTTGGCTTTGATATGATATAACTCGAACGGACGCGAGCTCTCGCCTTACTGGATCGCCTTACCCTTAGTCACCTCCCGTGTCCTGACTGAGACACTGACGCGAGGGAGACTTATAGTGTGGTCACGCCTCACCTAGGATCCTTTCTCTTCAGCACGAATTCCCAGGATCATCAACGCCATTTAGATAAAATGGCCTTGGTTGCCGATCAGACCTACAACATGTTTCCCCGACATGAGCAAGACTTCATGCTCTACCCCGATTCTAGCCATCAGGCCGGCTTCGCCTCGCCCGTACTGGACATGCACATGAGTCCTCACGGCTATAGTGGTATTCCTCGAAGCGTACAGGACGGCTTCCCTCGGGCTTCTGGTTTCGAAGCCGGCCCTATATACCCAGATCAACACAATTTCGTTTATAACAACAGAACATCACCCGGTACATTCCCAGAAGAAACCGGCATGACAACCGCCGCCCTTTCAACCACCTCAGCACCTTCGGCAACATCCTCAACGGTTGGATCCCCCAGCTCTAACAACGGCCAATTGGCTTACTTTCCCGAATACCAGCAAGCTGGTCTCGGTGTTAATCCTAGCATTGCTGGATCTGGCGAGTATTACTCCGGGACCGAGTACAATGCCTTCTCTATGCCAGGTACGGAAGACTTCAGCGTTCTTGATAATAAGATTGGGTTTGTTGGTGAGTCGGCGCAGGTTTCCATATTATGAATGCTTTTATTATTTTAAATCGCGGTCCTTCTCGGCCCTTAGGTGGTCCCTGCGCTAGTCTCGTGGGTATCATTGCCAGGGGGGAAGGGCGCAGCGCTGTTGATTTTCTTTTTCATAAGGTGGAGTCACAAAGCAACCATCCGCTGACCAGGGAGATTTTTCAGACCCTTCGATGATACATCCAGAAATCCGTGCATCTATGGGTCCACCGACACAGAGCTATGAGAGTGGCTTCTCTCCTCGGAACACCTATCCCACCTCTCCCGCGCTCTCTGGCACTGCCTCGCCGGCTCCGGCCATGCGCAATGGATCGCAATCGCCGTACCTTCATCAAACATATCACCACTACAGTCCTTTCCAAGCCCCGCCTCCAGCGCCAGCCAGACGGCAGAGTCTTTCATCCTACCAATCGCATGGATCGCACGACTATGCTTACAACAGCGACGAGTCCGAGAAGAAGCAAAGATGCACCTATCCGGAATGTGGGAGGACCTTCAAGGACCTGAAGGCCCACATGTTGACGCATCAAACCGAGCGTCCGGAGAAATGCCCGATCGCGACTTGCGATTATCACACCAAGGGCTTTGCGCGGAAATACGACAAGAACCGACACACCTTAACGCACTACAAGGGTACGATGGTGTGTGGATTCTGTCCCGGTTCCGGATCCGCGGCGGAAAAATCCTTCAACCGTGCGGACGTTTTCAAGCGTCACCTTACGGCTGTACATGGAGTTGAACAGACACCCCCCAACAGCCGCAAGAAGACTGGAAACTCGGCCAACAACGGCAAGAAGCTGACAGGTTACGCTCCCGACGCGACGGGCAAGTGTTCAACATGTTCAGCTACCTTCTCTTCCGCGCAGGACTTCTATGAGCATCTGGACGACTGTGTCTTGCGCATCGTCCAGCAGGAAGACCCCGCGGAGGCGATCAATGCGAAGCGACTAGCGGAGGTAGAGAACGACGACGACGTCCACCAAACCCTTGAGAAGAACCAATTGCCTCTCACTACACAGACTGTCGCCAACTCGGAGGACGAGGAAGACGAAGAGATGGGTGAGGAAGAGGATGTCATTGAGGAACTGAAGTCAAAGAAGCTGGCCTCACCAACAAAGAGGAGGGGAAACCCACCCAATGGCGTGCAAAAATCGCGGGGTATGACCCATTCGCGAGGCGGCGTACTTGTCCCGAGCAAGACCAAGAGCCGCAAGAACCGACGCGCCGACTACCCTTCCTCCTGGGGCTTCGACAAGGGCCAGATGACGATGAAGAAGCGCGTGATGGCAGTGTTCGACGGACCTAGGCGACTTGCGAAGGACGACATGATGCTATCCACGGAGCATGAGGTTCGCATCAAGCTCTCGGATGGCAAGTCGTACGTGACGGACCTAGACGTCAACACGATGAAGCGCGCCACAGGATTCCTCGACGCCACGGAAGAGGAGAAGGGTCTCTGGATTTCAGACGACCCGACCGAGGATGACCGGAAGCGCATGTTGGAATACCAACGCCGCTAAATCCGTGTACACACCTACCTACATATATATATCACCGCCCTTATCACACCAGTGTATCGATATACTACTACAGCATCATGACGACAGAGACGAGGAATTGGAATAGCATATGACTGGCGCAAGATTCTACTGTACAATTGGGAAATCTAATGGCATAAAAATCTATGGTTTCGTCGGAGGAGGGATGTATTTTTGACGATCTATATAGAAGGGGAGCAGCAGCAGCAGCAGCAGAGTTTGTTCTCATGGAGGAAGAGCATCTGTGGACAGCCTTAGGCTGCGGAACCTTTCATCTTTTTGGTATATTTTTGTATTTTGATGGACTGTATAGATACCCTGCTTTATCACTTTTTTTCCGTGCTCTCACGGCATTGCGGGAACCGAGAGACATTGGGTCTCGTTCTTGAATAAAGATCGTTTCTACCGCATTTATTATGATTACTTCTCTACGCCATGTGTTGACCATTTATTTCTCTACCGTCTATCCATTGAGCAATGTACAACATACATCGATCTCTAACACGAAATAGCACATATACCTACCTCGGTACCTTAGTACTTACACTATTCTTTCGGATTCTGCAAGACTTGCCCGCAAGTAAACCGAACCGCACATGAACCATTGGGGGAAGGGGATCTCAACGCATGTCTCAAATCTCACTCACGCACCTCATGCCGGCGCGCGCTCAACTCAACATCGAAGAAGGTCATTTGATCAGGACATGATTGGGCAAAAAAAGGCAAGGAGGCCACCCCTCCTCCAATCTTTTCTGGTTTTCCCTTTTTTTTCCTTCCGAATGAATCCTCCTATTGCCTGAAACCGCAAGAGAAGTTGTCTTGACCGCAACATACGCGCAGCTGAAACTGCACATTTCCATTTCCCCTTGAGGTTTGCTTGGGTCGCAGCAATGGAACGGGCCCGTTTATGAGGGAGGTACATACTGTACATACGGTACGGTACGGGAATTGAAAGATGCAGATGGGTTTCACAGGTAGGTAAGTAAGTAAGTAAGTAACTAATTAATGCTGTCACGCTGACAAAGTTGGGTAAAACGCCACGGGATGAGCAAAACAAAACCGGGGGGTGGCCTAATGTAGAGGCCGCCCGGCTGCCTATGTGTGCGGACTACCCCGTGAGTGGCTTGGAGGAAAGGGGTGTCGACGTTCTGTTCTGCTGTTCGTCTGTCGTGCAGTGCAGACCTGAGGCGCAGCAGTAGTAGCAACACCCGTTTCCACGTGTTGAGCCCGGGAGACAAATAAGGGAATGTGTAATAGGTATTAGTGGTAGATAGATAGACAGACAGATTGAGATTGACGTCGTCGCCTATTTCTACTCTACTCTACTCTACTCTATTCCTTCTACTTGGTCTATTGCCCTCTTCCGCGTCGTGCAATCCAATCAGGAAGGTTGGCTTGACTCTTACTCTTCATACTTGCTTTTTTTCTTCCTATTCTTCTCTTCAACAAGGTATTACATCCTAGAATCGAAGCGGTGAAGAGGCACAGCAAACCAGAACAAGCAGCAATGGCAGCAGTCTTATTTGCAGCGGTCGCGCACAGAAAGAAGGCTTGCAGGTAACGTGTACCCCTGCGCTATAGCATATGCCTCTTCGCTATACGTCAAGCAGCAGAAGGAGACCAACATATGGTTACACATGCGATAGATTGATCTTCTCCACCGTCTTTTGGATCGTGTGTAAAAAATAAAATAAAATAAAATAAAATAAAAATAAAAAATAAAACGAAACAAACACGAGCTTCGGCCCCTCCCATCCCCTCCAACTAGCACCACCCATTATACTTACTTACCATCGTCATCCATCATAATCTCGCCGGCAGCGCCGTAAACCCGCATATCGCATCTCCTTCTTCTTCTCTGCATTGGTTACTTACGTACAGGCTCATCTAGACGTACCGTCCCAGCGATAGCCTATGAGCACTGTCGCACAGCATCCTGTACCTACACGGCGTAAACATACCAATACGGAACAGCGTCAAGTCTACCTATCCATCCATCCATCCATCCATCCATCCGTCCACCCATCTTTTTTATTCATTCTATTTTTAATTATTATTTAAATTCCTTTTTTTTAAAGTTCGCGGGCCGTGTGTGGCAAATACTCTCTCCCTCTCTCTCTAAACTTTCCGCGCTGCCGGGTTTCTGACGGAATCATGTCCGTCTTCCGGGTTTTGTTCCTCTTCCTAGCGTACCAATGTTGACCTCACAATGTATTCAAAAGTAAATCCGTACCAGAGATTCAAAGAGGGGAAGACTAAGATCCTTGTTCGATTAGCATCATGAATGCCACCCATTTCTGACTTTGACGATATTTCATCAACACTTCATTGCGAAATGGATTGTGACACACACATTCTCCAGCAAAGGTACGCTTCCAGGCCCTTATAGTAGTTTGCACCGTCTAGCATGCATGGAAAAAAGGAATGTGTCCAAAGAGCAAATCTTACCATACAGAGAAATTGCAAAAAGAGAATTGTGCGGTGAGTGTGGATCGAACACACGACCTTCAGATGATCGGAAGACAGAAGTGGACTTCAGTCTGACGCTCTCCCAGCTGAGCTATCCCCGCTTGATGGAAGTTCGAGCTGTTAAGTCAGTGTATATACCCAGTGTATATCACTAGTAGCACCATTTACTAGAAATTTTCAACATGCGGGGACCTCATTCCCCCCACATAATCCCGATCTCCCAATCCGTAGGGCGGTACCTACCAGATGGTAGGTCAGGTAGGGGTTCGGGCAACAATCCGATCTGAAGTTAGATCTAGATAACCAAGTGCCCAGGATATATCGTCGATCAGTTTAGCTAACAAGTAAGGCAAAAGGCGGCGTAGAACAGACGGAAGCAAAAAAAAAAAAAAAAAAAATATTGCATCGCAATGGCGCTGACAAGCCGCATCACCCTGCAAGGCCCGCCGTCCACGGACCCCGAGGACTTCCTCAGCTCGGCGCTGGGCGTCATCTTCCCGGACGACGTGACGAACCAGCACGGCGACGCCGAGCACGCGCTGCTGTACACGTCGCCGCACCTGCCGAGGCCGCTGCACATCGCGCTCGCGGACCCGCGCCAGGAAGCCGACCGCAAGCTGTTCAGCCACTACCTGTGGAACGCGAGCCTGCTGCTCGCCGAGCTCGTCGAGGCCGGGACCCTTGAGGATCTGCATCTTCCGCAGGAGTACGAGGAGGAGGAGGTCGGTCTGGGTGCCAAGCCGCAAGCACAGGCACAGCCACAGCCACAGCCACAGGCGCAGGCGCAGGCACAGCAGACCTTCGACGTCGCCGGGTTGCGCACGCTGGAGCTCGGCGCGGGAACCGCGCTCCCGAGCATCCTGGCCGCGCTCCTGGGCGCCGCCGAGGTCCTCGTGACCGACTACCCGTCCGAGACGCTGCTGGAGACGCTGCGCCGCAACGTCGCGGCGAACGCCAGACCGGAGCACTCGCCGAGCGGCACCCTGGCGCCGGTCCGCGCCGAGGGCCACGCGTGGGGCGAGCTGGACACGCCGTTTGCGGCGGAGCATCGCGCCCGCTTCGACCGCGTGTTCGTCTGCGACTGTCTGTGGATGCCGTGGCAGCACGCCAACCTGCACAGGTCCATAGCGTGGTTTCTGAAAGAGGACTCGGACTCGAACCCGGACAGCAGAAACGCGAGAGCGTGGGTCATCGCCGGCTTTCACACCGGACGCGCCAAGATGCGCGGCTTCTTCGAGGACGCGGCGCTGGCCGAGGCTGGGCTCGAGGTTGAGAGCATCTGGGAGCGGGACTGCGATGGCGTCGAGCGTGAATGGGTCTGGGATCGCGGCGTGGAGGATATAAGCGAGCGGAAGCGGTGGCTGGTCGTTGGCGTGCTGAAACGAAGAACGACACCGTCTGCTTCAGGGGTGGAAGGATGAATGGTCATGGCTTATAACATGAGTCAAATTATAGGTATGAGGCGATGACCTCAGATGCCTTCGTCGAAGCGGTAGGCCTCAGCTTCGCTACCATGTTCTCTGAACAAAACTGAAGGCCCTAGGGTTGAAACCAAATTCCGATGACCGTATGGCTGGAAAATGGGGTTTCAACATGCTGGTGTATAGATAACTTTGTATATGTGAGCATATGGCTTCAGCTGTCTACAGTATACGGCTAGATTGAACTCTGCACATAGTAGATCGCGGCAGTATTCGGTATGGCCGGGGTTAGAGCTGACTTCATTCAAGAATCATTCTAGTATCTACAACGTGCCGATCTACTAATGAGTTCCTGTAGAAGACAGTTTTATACAATAATATATCAATGAGGAGCTTCAAGATCATTGAAACACTCGAGGATTGGTAACTTAGTCTGAGTCTCCAAAGGCATATGCACGTTGTATGGCACATGAAATCGTACAAATTCCCTCGTATATTTTTCATGAAAGTCCTATAAATGTGTATCAAGACGAAAGTAAGAATGTAAGTATAATGCTCGCTCATGCTAGCCCACATGCCATGCAAAAACATGCTAAATACATCGCGGTAGAAAATGCGTGACAGGGAACACTGTTTTTGTGGCACAAAATGTTGACCAAAAGGCAGCAAAATATGCAAGACGGAAATAAAACCGTAGATGAAAGAAACATCAGAGAAGATGGTAAAGAAAGGGAGCCGCTGTCCCTGATGTGGAGGACGGACAATAGCTCCGTGCCTCATACTGAAACTGTTGTCGAAGAGATAAAAGTCATCGTTGCTGTCTGCCTGTCGGAACAAGAAAAAGATGTCGAATCATGATATTCGGCTCCGAATAGCTAGGACAACGTAGAAACCAACGCCAACCACTTATAACCCAGCACCGCATACCTCCTTTTATAGAAACCCGTTGGGTTTCCTGCTAGAATCAATTAGCAAAACCGTAAGCCCAGCTGGACTTGTTTTGATGCTAGCATCCTCATTCAACCTCCCCTACGATAGTTATATTGTCGTCATATCTATCAAACGCGAGACCAGGACCACTGTAGCTCGGTTCTGGTATAGCTGATGCCTTTGTCGGAGCATGAGATCGAGCAGCAATTGCCTGCGGGGTTTGTGTATCTTCGGTAGGAATATTCTCTCCTTTCTCGAACACAGCTCCAGGGCCCGAGTAGCTAGGCTGTGGTATGCGCAACCTTGGAACTATCCCAGCATTAGACTCGATGTTGTGAATGGCACCAGAACCCGCGCCGCCTTTCACCGGCTGCGGACTCCAGACCTTGGCGGGGTCCGGGGCACGAGTCGGAGAACTCGGCTCCTCAGATCCAATTCCAAGTTTTCGCAGCAATTCTTCGGACTGTTCCATAGCCAGTTTTTGAAGCTGTGCCACAGGGTCCTTGTGATAGCGTAGCATGTTAGCTAAATCGCAAAGGCAGTCTGCAGGATCCCAGCGCTTTCCATGCACACATACCCATTCAGTCTGCGCTGGCACGCCCTCCGCGGCCGGCAGCAGAGGGTTCTCGTCCTCGCCAGGACCGGCATCGGGGCCACCGCCCCAGAAAGTCGGTCGGCGGACGGGTGCAGGCGTTACTGGCAGGCTGGGGCGCTCGGTTTCGCTAGGAAAGTCGGTCACCTTGCTTCCCCGCCTACGCCAAGTAATCTCGACCTGTTCCTCCTTGCCCGGCTCTGGCTCTGGCAACTTGAGCACGCCAGGAGATTTGAGACTCCGCCTACGCTGATGCTTCTGAACCCTATCAACATAGCGCTCGATCTCGGGTACCTCATCCCACGCATTTGTCAGTGTGAATGAGGACCAAGGATCCGACGGCGTGACGCGAATGGTCGGTGTGGTTGGAGTAGCAGGTTCGCTCCAATGGTCAACGGTGGATGCGTCTGCGATCGAGGGAGGGGCAGAAGACCGAAGCGCAGACATAGATGGGGACGATGGCTCATGCGTAGGGGTTTCCGAGCCATCCTCGGTCTCCTCCTCCTCCTCCTCCTCCGGAGGGGGGTCGTCAGGAAAAACACGACTGGGCGGTTCTCGGCTCGCTTCCCAAGGGAAGATAGGCTTCGGTAACTTTGCATAGAATGCATGGTTACCTTTAGGCATCTCGTACCACGGATTCCTAGGAGCAACGTAGGGAGTGGTGTCTCGGGACATCGCGTATACGGTGTTGGGGAAATTCATAGCTTCCGGTCTGGAATTGACCGGAGGGGGTCCTCTGTTCCCAAGTTAGCTCCTTACTCTCCCAAAGCCATTTGAAGCGAGCAACTGACCTTTGGGCGTCCCAGGTCGACGTGGTGGGTTGGTATCTCGATCCGATCTGGTCTTCTGGAGTCTCAGTTGATGTTCCTTCAAAGTTGATAATGTTATGCTGCAATATAGCAGCTTCAGACTGAGCCTCCACTTGGCTAGGCATTCCGGGCTGCCGGATATCTGGGCGAATAGTGCTATAGAGTTGACTAATGGTATGAAATTTGGTACCTTTGGGTCGATATTCTCCTCTAGTGAGGTACTGGACAAGTTCGGATATGCCCGTATGGTTTGAATCCTAGGTACGGTGAGCTTGGGCGCCACTACAAAACCATCTAGATTCCGTGGCAGACTTACAGATCCTCCGTAATGTTTGTCATAAACGGCCCACCACTTGTTAATCATTTGGTCATAGGGGGAGTCTCCATTGCTGGCGGGTCTCCCATTGAACCATGGCTTATTTGATCCGATAAAATGAACCATGTTGATGCTCGACTGGAAATGACGGTAGGCGGGAACATATTGGTAGTGACCAGAAGGTGTGACGTTGTAGCTGAAACTGAGGCGGTTATAGTCCTTTCCAAAATGCTGGTTAATAAGACCCTGGTCAGCTCCATCGAAAGAGACATTGTTCTCTGCCATTGTTACCATGGCCTGGTAATCACCCAAGTTCGGCGTCAAAACCATGACACCCGTATTGAAGAGATCGGGCCAGCCAATATCAGGGGCCGCGGAGAAAGGGTGTGGTATATCGAACAGCTCGTCGGGTGCTCGGTATGCGACGACATCGCTGTCTATATAGACGATCTTGCGAAACTGGGTCTGTTTCCATAGCTCGATTTTGGTAAAAGCGGAATGCAAGTCGGCTCGGTTCATCAAATGCAGATTGGCAGGTTGCGAGTTACGTATACGGTTGACAGGAATAACATAGTTATAAACGGTCTGATTAGTTTGGTTAGTTGGGGACAACCCTTAGTCTTGATAGGACCAGCAAGCTTGCCTTGAGCTGTGTTACGACTTCGTTGGAAACCGTGTCCAAGGTCACCAATACTGCCAGCTTCTTGGAGACACCGGCATCTCGTAGAGAATGCGCAAGTACCAGGGCACCTTGAAAAAAGTTAGATGGTAAATTGCATTGTGGGAGGAATCGTAAAGCATACCGGGCAAGTATGTATCGCTTAAGAGAAGCTATAGACATGCATGTGTTAGCTGGGTATGAAATGTAATCTGAGATTGTGTCTAGGTGTGACGAACTGTGGCGTAAACGTCCTCTGCTTCGCCTGGCACAGCCATTGTGTGCAAGGAATGGCGATATGATCACGCCAGATGAAGCTCGAACGAGAGGGGTTACTACTATGAGTATTGATAACCCAACACAACACAACACAAC